TTTTTTTTTTTTTTTGGTTACAGAAATAGTAAATGCGATAGCATCCCCTTTTGTACTATGCGACATCATAGTTATCCGACTGGCTTCTAATTTTGTTTTCTCAATTCTGATGATCAAACTTGTTTTCGCCTTTATGCCCAATGTGAAACTTGGTGGTTGGCTTGTTAGCTTCAAACTCATGACATCCGTAGCTTGAACAAGTAAATGCATAATTTCATTGATCCTATTTGCTTGCGATCTCGTGATCAAGTGTGGATCCAGCAGCAGGCGAGCCAGCATGCCCGCCCGTGCTGGATTATGTGGTCGCGTCCTTCCTTTTGCATTAAAGATACATGTTCGATTCCCTTGGTCAGTACTACGCTTTTTAATTTTTAAACAGAATAATTTAATAAAAGATTGTACCAACCTTCAAAGAAGCAAAGGCACCACATATGGTAGAGGGGTTCTTCGTATGTATGAGGCATGGTGTTCAATTCTATATCCATCCAAATTTTTGTTACAATAAATAATGACTAAACAATTATAGTTTTTGTTTTCGAAATGATTTCTTTAAAAAATTTATTCACTCAAATTATTACATCATAATATAAATACTTTTATCAGTATGTTTAATCAATTTATTTTATAAAATTCAAATTTGGATAATCTAAGAATTGCTCTTTATTCTTTTAAGAGTTTGAAAAACAATTTTATTTTGGAGTAAAAAAAAAGTTCTAGTTCTAAAAATCATTGTTTTCAAAATTTGGTTTTTGTGTTATTTTTTATTTATGACTTATGAATAATGATTTATGTTCAATGAGTTATTGGCAATTTGCCATTAAAATGAGAATTGTGACTCTGTGGTTATGATAAATAATTTATGTTGTATAAGTCATTAGGTTATGAGTTATAATTCATTATTTATGAGTTTTGATTTGACATTTGAGAATTTATGTTTAGGAATTTAGGATAAGTGAAAAAAAATCAATTGAGAAGATTTTCGGCCCAATTCAACAATGCGTGCTTTTTTTTTTAATCAGTTCTAATTGGGAAAAAAAAATTGGGACATTTTTACAGATTATTGAATGATTTTCCGATTTTTTCAACCGAAACTAAAGTCTATATCTATTCATTCTAATGCTAATAACGCATCTAGTTTTTTTAGTTCTAGTACATACGATTTTTTGAATATTATTTAATTAAATATTAATAAACGATCATGTTATGTTATTACGGACGTTGACCGTTGACAGTAAACATTCAACGTTCGCGATCCGCCCTAGCTAAACTCGAAGTCTAAATTCATCCTTGTTCGTGATTGGTTCCTTTTTAAGTTAGACCTGAACTTTGTATAATTGTTGCCTTCCTTGGATCGTATCATTATCTCAATGCAAAATTGAATTTTAATATAGTCTTAGCCAGCTTATCTTCAATAATTCAATTGGTTTATACCAATTTCCTATTTTATTTGGTGTTGCCACTTTGGAAGTAAAACCTTCAAATGAGAGTTAAACAGAATGTTATAACACCCTAAAAATTTCAAAATTTGAGCAGGGGAATCTAATGAAGGTTATTAAACTGAATTCATTTTAAAACTCGCCTTAGTTGGTCATTTCTAATATATAAACATACAGGAAAATTGATACAAAAATTACATTAAAAAATTAGTATTGCAGTTCAAAACTAAAAAGAAATGGAAAGCTTTGAGACAAACCCACATAAAAGAATAGTTTTGCAATCTGCACTAAAGCCTCGACTTTAGGCGCAACTTCACGATTTCAATCAATCCAAGAAAACAAGAAGGGATCTTGGGGGAAAAAAAAATAAAGAAAAGACGAAATTTAATCTAATAAATATACCCTCAAAAGAAGACACTGAGTCCTAATTGCTTCATTAAAATAAAAAAAAAGTGTAAGAGATGCATACCTTTAGGGCTTGAAAACTAAAGAGGAGAAGTGAAACTGGATCTGGAATTGGAATCTGATGGAAATAAAGTCTTGAGGTTAGAATCTCTTTAATACATTATTTGAGTATCGGGTTTGTCTCAAAGCTAAGACTATATTACTCTAGATTTTTTTAAAAGAAATTTTGCTTTTCGTGTTGAGTTAATGGAGCAATTAACGAAAGGTGGATGAAAGGATATTTTTTGCAATGAAATGTGAAAATACCAAAAAATAGAAAGTATGGGTGTTTTGCATAAAAATATTGAAAGATATGGATATTTTGTACTAATTAACCTAAATAATTTTGTCAAATAAAACTCTCTATACTCTTATTTGGTGGAGATTAAAATTAAATTTTTAATAAATTTTAATAAGAATTGAAGAAATACATGATTAAAAAGTTATGGATCTTATTAAAATATTTGATTAAAATTAGTTGTTGATTTTGACTTCGATTAAATTCCAATGAATATATAATCATGCAAATACAAATCAAATCCCTTTTTCTTTTTTTTCTTTTTTTTCTAAATGATTAGATGATAGAATCACTCCAAAAGCAGTCTTAGTCAATTACTATGTAGGCCCTATTCGAGCCCCCCCCACCCCTTCTTTTTGAAGGAAAATAAGTTTCGAAATAATGATTTTTGAAGAATGCAAGTTAAAAAATGGAAAAAATAAGTTTACATGTAAAATTAAAAATAAATTTTGAAAAAATAATTTTTGAGAAAAATAAGCTCAAACATGGACTTAATTGATTTTTATATTTTAAGATGTGAGATGTATTTTGACTCCATCTTCAATAATTGTCGTATTAGTTATGTTATTTGAGTTTTGAGAAAAAATAAATTTTGATATAATGAGAACCAAACATGTGAGATTACGTTAATTTTCTATTATTCTTGAACCAGTGGTTAACAGGCTAAGAAAAATTCTATAGTTACTAATTTAAAATTTCTCACAACTGTTGATGTATGTAAATATTGCAGTTAATAAATTATAGACTTTGATTCCTTATTTTTAAAATTATTTAAATTTATATGTAAATTAACTGATTAAAGAAATATAAAAAATTATTAAATAAGAAATGAGAGAAATCAATAAATATTTCACAAAATAAAAAGGTGTATCAACAATTTTCCGGATACCACGCAAATGTTACCATTGTTTGAAATTAATAGTTCTAACGCTCAAATTCTAATTAACTGGCAAAATTACTCACTTTTAGAAAACAAAATAGAAATTTTGGAAGAAAATTGAAAAATTGAGTCGAGGCTCAGATCTGTGAATGATAAACAGGCAAAGAGAACGCCCACATCGCCATGGCTGCAATCAGTGGTTGCGTGTGATGAAGAAACTCTAATCACAACGCCATCCAAGGTTGCCATGCCAAGATACGAGTTGAATTATCTCAATGCCTGATACATTAGCTCAGAACAAAATTAAGGAAAAATCATCACAGCCCCCTTTGTGTTCAACAAATTAATTTCACAGATCCATCATAATTTCTACCAGACAAGCACTATGAATAATGCTGTCTGAAACGACTGTAGAATAAACCGTAGAGTCCGATGCCCTTATAAGTAAAAATTTTAAGCTTAGCCAAACAAGATCTAAATCTGAGCGCTCGTACTTACGAAAGATAGATAGAATGATTGAATAGTTGTGGGAATGTATGTGCGGAAGAAAAGTTTCTCCTCTGCTTTCTACTTCTCTTTAAGGGGCTGTTAGTTTTTGAGAATGAAGAAATCATTGGGTAAACAGAGAGGGGTAACCACCCTTGAAGAAATCCCCAATGTCTCTGTGGCCCTAATTCTTTGTTTCTTAGCTAACGGTGCTTTGTCGATGAAAGCGGAAGGCCTAATTTATACTGCCCCACAGTGCCCTTTTTTGCCCATCTTCGATTTTATTTTTTTTTTCCTTTAAAAAGAGCTGAGTAAAGAGCTCCCATAATTTAACGAAAGACTTAGCCATTTGTACATCATGCTTGACACTTGAATCATTATCGAAAATTGAGTGGATGAGAAATTTTTTGTTTTTAATTGTCAAATCGCAGTTTGTGATGCAAAATACTTCAAAAGATGTTTGACTAGTCCTAAACATTATATCATATAGATTGATGATGAAATGATATTCCTTTATTGTACAAGTTTCTAAATTTCATTTTTCTTAAATATATTTTCAATTGCACGGATAAAATAATTTTAGACTTCATTTGTGCAAAAATCACTCTCGATTTGAAAGATTAATGTTCAGCGGTGTTGACGCTACCACGGACTTTGAATTTTACCCATCACACTTTACGCTTCTACTTCAAAATTTCGAAATGGTCAGTTTCACCTTTAGAAAGCAAGAAATAAAGATGCAGAAAATAAACCCTTCTCTGTAGCGAAAAGGCGCAAAACCGAAGGCTTCAATCCGAGTTTTTAGGCCACAACAATCTGTAGAACATCCAGTAAGTTTGGTTATTTGGATAAATTTGTGTAATTTACATTTTAATTCTAAAAAGAAATAAATCCCTAAATATCTGAAATTGAATGTAAGGGGTTCAGCCGCTAGAATTGGTTGATATGCTTGTATTTGCGATTCTACTGATTTTTAGGACTTCACTGTTAAGCTATGGCTTATTGCTTATTCTTCATACGATGTTTTGAATGTTAAAATCGAGAACATAGAGGTAATCTTAATTTTATTGTGGAAAAAATTCCTTAGATTCGTTGCTCTGCTCTGCTTGTATTTGCGATTCTACTAATGTTTAGGGCTTCACTGTGCTGCTATGGCTTATTGCTCATTCGATTTCTACGTTATTGGAGGTTTTGCAGTTGATTTAAAGGCGAGGCTTTGAGAATTGAAAGATTGCTGTTACTTAAGAAGCATTTGAGTTTTGGGCACCCGATTTCTTCAGAGTAAACCAAAGAAACGGTCCTGCCATCTAATTTAAAGCATGTATCGACTAAGTGAGTTACACGACTCGGTGATTCACCTAATTTTTCCATTCATGTCTATGGAATATGTTGTTAAGACAACCATTCTTTCCAAACGCTGGAAAGATCTCTGGACCTTGGTCCCCTGCCTTAATTTTCAATCTGAAGCATCTGATGAGTTAGAGTTGGGTGAGTTTAGACACTTCGTTAATAGGACTTTGATACTTTGGAGAGGTACAAAGATTCAGAAATTCACATTGTATTTGTATATGTTCGATTTTAGTGAATCTTCAACTTGTGATTTCAGTTTGTGGGTCCGTTTCGCACTGGAACATAAGGTTGAAGAGTTACACCTGGATATATAATATGATCTGGAATTTCTCTTATACTCTAGTTCATCGATCAGAAAATTACGCCTTCTAAACTGTGTTCTAGAAGTTCATGGGAAGGTACATTGGGATCAACTCAAGAGTTTAACAATTGAAGGTGTGAGCTTGAATCAATTTGTGCTTGACGAAATGTTATCAGGTAGCCCTAAGTTGGAAATATTGACAATAAGCCATGGCTATCAATTGAGTATTCATTCCGCTAGTTTGAAGGAGCTATATCTTCTTTATGATAATCCCTATGATTATGTTGACGTAACTACATTGATGAAAATTTGGACTCCAAATCGAGGAAATTTCCCTTGTAAGTGCTTGCTAATGAGCGTCCCATCATTGGTTTTGCTACCTTTGATTCTTATACGTATCTCGAGCATATATTGGACCAAGAAAATGAAATGTTGAGGGAAATTTTCCAGAGCATTTATCATGTTGAGAAGTTATTGGTAGGAGATTGGTGCTTTGAGGTTTGGTTTCTCTTAATATTTTCTTTTATAAAATTTATTTACTTCATTTGCATGTGCTTAATTATTATTTGTTCTTGGCTCTACTTTTAATAACAGGTGCTGGCATCAATGGAAAAGACAGATTTGCTTTCTTCTCATTTAAATTTGAAAAGTTTGACACTAGATACTTGCCTTAAAGAAAGGTGGACTTGCTGGATTTCTGAACCTTCTCAAAATCTCGCCAAATGTGGGCATGTTAGCCATACATAATAGTGCTGGCTGCTCACCTCAGGTAACAAATGATAAGTTAACTTCTGGTTTATGTTGTATTACGAATTCTGAAATATGAACAGAACAATTTTCTCTACAGAAGCAACTTACTGAATGGAATCGGCTCGGAGAATCTCTTATCCCTGAAATTGAGGAAATAGAGTTCCCAGATTCCTTTCTAATGCATCTGAGGATAGTTAAAATCGAATGGTTTTATTACGAGACCTTGATTCTTCCGTTGATAGAGTTCGTGATGAAACATGCTAGCGTGCTCGACAAGATGGTGATTGAGGTTAGAATGCCTAAATCAGTTGGACCAGAGTGTTCAGTTCTAGCGGCACAAAAACTGTTGAGAATGCCAAGATCCTCTCCCATTGCTGAGGTCGTGTTTCGCTGGTGCAATTACTAAAGAAGAGTTACCTTAGTATATTATTTGTGACTTTTTATTTGAGTGTTATAATTTTGTAAGTTATAACTGTCAAGTACTACTATGTACCAAATGTGTCCTGAAAGCATGCAATGGCTGTATGCTTTTGATGGAGCGACCCTTAATTGACTTCAAAATACAACAAAATGGCTGTATGTTCTTGTTGGAGAGCGATTATCTATTGACTTCAAAATACAATAAAATTTATGTTTGGTAGAAATTAAAATTAAAATTAGAAGTCAATAATTAATTTTAACCCATATACTTATGAAATCAATAATTTTTTAATCACGCATTTTATTAAAATTTACTAAAATTTTTATTTTGATTCCCACCAAATAAGAGTAAAATATCTTTTAATATATCTTTTCTATTTCATCGGAAATTTGAAGGGGAATGTAACATAGCGCCTATTTGAGCTTCATTTTCATCCAAAATATATTTTGAAATATTATTTTAATAAAGAATGTGTGATTAAAAAATAACGAAAATTTTTAGATATGTGTATAATATTATATTATTGAAAAATGTTGAAAATAAAAAGAAAAATGTATTTTTATTCTAAAGGAAACTAAAAAAGGGTATGATAATCTTTTGCAATTATCTTACTCGTCCAATATTTTTTTTTACCATCTGAGTTAACATGAACTTGGCATTTGGCAATATCAGATTTATCTATTTTAAATATATATTTTTTAAATTAATGGAGCAAATTTTGACAACATTATTTTTTTTTTTGATACCCAGGTGTCCAACTTACAGCAACTAATTGTGGGGTCTACGATCCAGCCCCTCTTCACCCAAACCAAGCAAATCGCGGATTGTGCCCCAAATTGGCCAGGATCCAAGAACCCCCCAACTGAAATGCTAAAGTGTCGCGCAAGTTAAACTCATTTATGCATCTTGCATTTCAAGGAACTCCTGCCTTCTAGAAAATCAACCACAATTGTCAACTGAGTAATCGTACAAATAACTTTATTCAATCTCGTGTGCATAATTGTGCCCCTTAAATTACCAGAGTACCATAGTAATCCCACCCCGAGAAGGGGCAAGATTGGTAATTTATGGTGGTATAAATTGGGGCCTCTTGCTCATCAGCGAAGCACTGTTAGCCCAGAAACAAAGAATTAGGGTTGATAGAGATTGGGGATTTCTTCAAGGGTGGTTACCCCTCTCTTTTTACCCAATGATTTCTTCGTTTTCAAAATCTAACAGCCCTTAAAGAGAAATCAAAACCAAGTAAATAATAACAATAATAATAAAATCCCTTGTTTGAGCTCCATTATTCTTAAACGTTCGGCTAAGCTTAATAGTTGAGCCTCCGTTTGGTGAAATTTATATATTGTTTCGGAGTTTTGCAAATTTCCCTTCGAGTAAGTTGACCTATTGAGTAGAAAGGGGCTGTGATGATTTTTCTCTTTTTGTTTCTGAGCTAATGGATCGGGCATTGAGATGATCTGACCTGTATCTTGGCGTGGCAACCCTGGATGGCTCTGTGATTAGGATTTCTTTAACAGATGCAACCAGTGATTTGCAGCCATGGCGAGGTCAATTTCTCTTTGCCTGCTTATTTTTCACAGATCTGAGCCTCGATTTAGGTTTTCTTCCAATTCTCTTTCGATTTTCTGAGGCCTGTTTTATTTTTAATTATGGTGGTCTTTTGCATATTTTTTTATTATTGATATTCCTGTAAGAAAAGGGTAGACTTTTGGGAAGAAGTATCTTTTATTATTATTATTATTATTATTTTTTGTTTTTGTCAGTTAATTACTATTTGGAGCATATCTATATTTTAAAGAAAGAATATTTATAATGAATTACATAATATGATGGGGGAGGGAAAGGATTCTACGAAAAGTTTTAAACTGACAAATGTTAGAATATTATGTGGCATTATGTAATCTTTAACGTACATGAAGTAATTTTTTTTTTTTAAATTTTTAAAAGCAATTGGATTGTAATAAATTAATCTACAATTGGCTTTAGTTCTCTTTCATGTAGAAGTGGGTTGAGTTGGGTTGGGTCGATTTTTGCCCCAATTCAAACCCAACACAACATGATTGGTTTGATCTAAAATCAAACCAACGCAACCCGTGTAAATGTTGAAACCCAATCCAATCCAACCAATAAGTGTCGATCGGGTTGGTCGGTTTTGTCACCAGTATGTGGCGCAATGGATTTCTCATCATTTAGCCCGACAACCTTCATCTTCGGGCAAGCAAGAGAAAGAAAGATTGGCATCTCTTTAAGAGAAACATAACCCATAATACTCACATTCTTCCCCCAGCATAAAAGATGAGTAGGAAATTTAACCTGACACTGCTCCCAATCTCAAGGCAAAATAGACATCCAGGATTAAGTTCCAATTAGCAGACAAAGGTGGAATAGTAGAAAGAAGAAAATTGACGCAATATATCTTACTAGGTATAAAAGCAAAATGCCACAAGATACAGTGATGCAAATTTATATCGTGGAGGCACCTTTATCAAATATTCAGGTCAGAATAGATTATGAGAACTTCTACACTATTGACAATGAATATATCTCTAAAAGACGTATAAATGCAAAAAAATATATAAACTGATCAAATAGGATTGAGTGAGGTTGCAGTACAAGTGCAATGCACCTGAATGGAAGAGACTTCTAATTGTAGACTGTAACAAAGGTTGTACCTTATTATTTAATGGGAAGAGACTTCTACATGGAGGGCATTCAAACCAAATCCATCGTTGACAATCTTGGGTTCAATACCCAAAGTAGTAATCAGGAAAGAAACATATCACGAATTCATCCATAATTCACTTAAGAGGAAGTGAAAGCAGCTTGTTAATTCTCATAAGCCTGAGTTATATAAACCAATATAGTTCACGTGAAAAATCTTCAAATATAAACGTACATGTGACAGATTACGGCTCATTCAATTAAAACCAACATCGACTCCATTATAAACTTACTTTAGCAGTCTAGCATTGGAGTGTGGATGTTCGATGATTGGCAATTGAAAAACGAAGATTGTCGTCTGCGATTTGAGAGAAAATTGACGGGAGGGAGATTAGGGCTTGTTGTCGGCTTTGAGGCAGGAGTGAAGAAGTGAGAAATGACTGAGTAAAGTTTAGGACGTTTTTCTCATTTTATGTCATTTTTCCCTTTTTTTTGTCGTGTCGGGTTGGGTAAGGTTGGGTTATATCGGGTTTTCCTTGTTAAACAATGACCCGACTCGACCACTCAACCCAATAATCGAAACTAACCAAAAAATAGCAAAAAATCTTTGTTCAGTCAATTTTGTTGGGTTGGTTTGAGTTTTGTCCACTCCTACTTCCATGCAATGGTATTTCAGGTCAACGCTGCACATTATCCTTTTAACAAGAGTTTAAATTACTCGTGCTATTGTACTTTTGGATGTTCAGCGAGTCCGATGTTCGACTGTCGTGACTTATGAAATAAGTTTTGTTATCCATCTTGATTGTGCCTGGTTAACTCAAGATATTTGTGTTGGTTACTGGTTCGTTAGTCCTACGTTTGAATTTTGCATGTAATTCTCACCTTTAAGTATTTTGAAATTTCGTGTAATAAGTATCTGCATTTCGGTTTCGTTCAGTCCCAACAATTGGTTACAAATGTAACCAGCTCGAAGAAAAGGATAAAAAAATTTTAATGTGACTTATAAAAGAGTAATATGATTAAATTGTTAACCATTGACAGTCTAGGATGTTATCTATATGATTGGACATTTTAATAGATTCTTGAGCCCCATTTTTGTCAAGAAAATATATTTTTAAATAATATAATGATGTGAAATGTGTGATTAAAAAATAAGAAAAAATTTTAAATTTTCGTGTGATATTATTTTATTGAAAAATGTGTGATTAAAATAATGTCAAAATACTGTTTAAAAATGTATTTTTTCAAAAAAAGGGACTCAAACAGGGGCTTTGTTACATAAATAAAGAAGTCGGAGAAGCGTCAATGATAATTTAAAAAAAAAAAGAGCCAAGCAGGTGTTGACATGTGGCACTTATTTTTAAATTCTATTAAATGTCGCCGTCTGAGTAATTTAACTGCTATTTGATAAATATTTTTTTAAAATAATATTTTATTGTGAAAATATGTAATTAAAAATGAGTATAAAAAAATAAGGTCATATTTGGCACCCATTTTTATCAAAATGCATTTCTCTCTCTCTTCTTTTCAACTATACATTCTTTATTAAAATAATATTACACGTAAATCAAAAAAATTTTCTTATTTTTTAATCACGTATTTTCCATCAATTTACTATTCAAAAATTCATTTTCACATAAAAATTTCTGCCAAACACCCTCTAAATTTTAAGAGAATGATGGTCAACTATTTTTGAGGCTGACATGACATATGGTTAATGAAGAGGAGGTAGGTTGTAACTTTTCTCAAGTATTCCTGTTCCACCTTATCCAAACCCAAACTCTAATCTTCTTCTCTTCGTTATTCCCTCTCATAATTCCCAAGACCCTTCAAAACCGCCCCCATGAACACTGCCACTCTCTTCCTCTTTCCACCACCTCCGCCACCTTCAATAAAATTCCCCACCTCAATTCCCACACCCTCTCCACATCCAATCCATTTCTACAACCCAAAATTCAACATTCCGAGGCCTATTAACCTTACCCGACCCAGAAATACACGACTTGACTTCAGGGTCTGGGCTGACGATGGAGACGCGGACGGAGCAGACCCGGATGACTATGACATGGATGAGGATGAGGTAGAAGAAGTCGATAATAAAAAAGACTTCGATGTTGATTATGATACTTCAACCGCACTCGCTGCCGTTGCCACCGCCGCAGGCAACGGCGGGGATGATGATATTGAGATGGTGCATAGTAAGAGCTTCGTTTCGACTCAGGGATGGGACTCCGAGAAAATCGTGGATTATCGGATTAATGAGGATGAGTTCCATAAAATTTGTCTACTTGATTGCGATTTTTTCATAAGAAAACCGCCTGACCCAGATAATGATGTCTATGATTTTCGCGAGGTAACATTTTTTCTTGCTTTAAGATTAAATTTTTTACTTTAAAATTGTTTCTATTTTTTATTAGAAAAAAAAGATTTATTCGAAAACGTACTTATTTACTTTTAAGTAATCTTTTTAAGCTTAGCGAAACATGACCTTAAC